AAATAGATCATCGCGCCCTCTATAAACACCTGGCCAACGGAACTCGGCCCTGATACAGTAACGACAGTGGATCTACTCTTACAGCCGACGGCGCACTGGGTATAGAATATACAGCGCCCTCTACAACACACACCTTTCCAACTATACTTGGCCTTGATGCAGTAACGGCAGCTCGTCTCCATGGTGACCGCGTGCTGGGCGTCTTGGAAGGGGTCCTGGCAGCATGCGGCGTATGAGGGGCAGCCGGTGCTCCTGCCCTGGCTGGTCAGGTCGCTCGACTCACACACGTAGCAGGAGTAGTCGAACGCTAGCGCGGCTGCAACGACAACGCGGTGGGTGCAGGGTTCGTGGTGAGTGTGTCTGTCACAGCAAGCTGCTGTAGAGGATGCCCATACTATAGACACGCGTACAGATGTATGCAGACATGCTATAGAATGTGACAAGCAGCGGCGTCACTAGGGTTGGTGACACACGGTGTGGTAACTCATGGTGTCACCCCCATGGACCTCCTTCCGTACCAGACCATACAGAATCCGTAGTAATGTTTTTTGTACTAATGTTACTCGTTTTAAATTTTATAGACAGGTCTCTCTGGACAGGGTATAATTTCCGAACATCATTATTGGCACAGGGTTATCTAGATACCAACCCATCAAGCTGATATTGGCCTAATATTGGCAAAACAATATTGGACCAATATCACCAGGCCGATATTGGACCAATATCTGTCTATATTGACAAGACAGGACATAACCGAAATGTGCAATATTGCAACAGGGTATACTTTTTAGTGCAGTATATTGGGACAGGGTGTATTTTAGGGCGCAAAGCGGTTTGCGACAGGGTCAGGTTTTCAAGGTCCCGGAGGCACCTCCCTACCCAGTTCCGAGGCGAGTGCCTCCGCCCCCCAGGGCGTAGAACTCACACGCTACACGCACGCTATAGATGCAATGAACATGACATACAGCGGCCGCTGTGAACAGCCCTGTATTGATCTGTGGGTGATTACGAACCCTATACTATATAGATGACGCAATCGGAAAATTCAACGCGATGTACAGTTAGTTATCAATACGAACGATTCCTATTTATATATCACACACATTATAATGCTAAACGTACATTGGGGGCAAAGTAAATAGGATCTCCTGCTCTGCTCACTGACCATTTACCATTTAGTAGTGGGGTCACTATATGCAGACACTGGCGCTATAACAAGGGGCGTTTATTACTCTAACACTGACTGGGCAAATCAAGATGACCTCTAATTTTATACCATATAGACGTACCAGTATCGCCGGATGAGTTTGGATCATTTTCGCGTATATAGCGTGTTATTGACATACGAGTAACACCAGTCTACTGCACCACCACCCGCTCACCCCGTCTCTCTCTCTCTCTCTCTCGCTCTCTCTTTCTCTCTCTCTCTCTCTCTCTCGCTCGCTCGT